CCACTCTGGGAGAGATTTAGACTATCTGAGCTCAAGGAAATCATGAGGCAAAAGGATGACGCTAAGTTTGCAACTGCATTAAACAGACTGTCAGTAGGAATGCTTGAAGAAGAAGATATTAAAATGTTCAAGAGTAGAGAAATCGGAAAAAACTTAATTGTTCCAGATGATGCAACATGGTTGTTTTACAGCAATGCAGACTGTGATCAATTTAATCGTGAAGCGATAAATCGAGCAAAGGGTCCTTTGTTCAATTCATATGCCATAGATAGAGTGCAGGGTGGAAAGATTCTAGCGTCCCAACAAGCAATGTTGGAGTCGGCCGAATATTTAAGTTTGCAGCAAACAGGAGGAATGCCATACCATGTAGCTTTGAGAGTCGGCCTTCGTTATATGATTACAACAAATATTGGCGTATCCGATGGATGGTTTAATGGTGCTACGGGAAAACTAATGAGGGTAATTGAAAAGCCATTAACTAACGGGCAGAAAGCTGTTAAGATTGTATTTATGGAATTCTCTGAGAAATTGGTAGGGCAACTGGCTAGATCAAATAACCTGGCATTACTCAAACAATTAGAAATTCCTCTGCATTGGACCCCGATCTTCTCGGAAACCAAGGCATTAAATAGTTTTGGGCACTATCAAGGAATGCAAATTGTTCGTCGTCAGATTCCCCTGGTTGCTGCTAATGCCATTTCAATCCATAAATCACATAGTCTGTCAATCCAAAATACGGTTGCTAATATTCCAACTCGAGGATTGGGAAGGGATGCGATATATGTAGCTATGAGTCGGGCACCTTCTTTATCAGGATTATTCATTAGTGGGACTTTTAATGCACCACGTGCAATCGACACTTTAAGGCATCCCGTGGCATTAGAGCTCACTAGATTACGAAAATTGCCATTTCCATATTCTCTGAGATATTTACCAGACCAAGAAGATCCTAATAGAATTGTATTCCATAACATTCAGTCGTTCCGAGCACACTATGACGATATTCTTGCTGACAGAAATTATATGGTATCTGATATTCTGTGCTTTTGTGAAACTAGGTCATTGGTTTCAGATATGGTTGAACTGCCAGGATTTTCTATTTTGTATCGAGTAGATTCGCCAACTATCCAGTCATCTATAGGAACACTGGTGTTTAGATGTGACTCATACTCTCCAAATATATCAGATGTTCAATACTCGCATGAAAATTTAAGTGTCACAAAACATTTGCAAATAGTTCAATGGAAACAGAACGATGTTAGAATATGTATGTTATACCGTAGTCCTCAGTATAGTACGATAACTTTTCTACATGACATTATAAATTTTCTGAATAGCACAAAAGCACCCCAGTGATTGTTTTCGGTGACTTCAACCTGAATTTCCTAACCAAAGATGGATGTCAAATGAGGCAGATTTTCTCTTCAATGGGTTACCGATTAGTAACTCCACTTGAAAATAGTACGGACGGAAATACATCGATCCATGTATGTTTTTCTAATATTTATGGGGTTTCAGCTTGGTTCTACGAAAGCTATTTTAGCTATCATAAACCCATTTGTGTGACTTGGTCAAACGACATAGATATATTGACACCACATTCTGAATCACAAAATTGTACCTCAGAAACTGAACAGATGGAGGTAGGTGTGAGTGAAACTGGCGCATTTCACGAAACCGTGGAAATGGATATAGACGAAAATTTGTCCACAGATGATGTAATTTGCGAACCAACCCATTTAGTTCATCTCGGAATTCCAAATTTAGGAAATACATGTTACATTAGCGCAATTCTTCACTTAATATATGAATCTCCTTCTATTCAAGAATTTCTGAAATTTAGTAAGGATCGTTTATCTCATTGTCTTCTCAGTTTCCTCCAAGCATTGGTCACACCAGTTCAACTTAGTCAGCTTAGAAATACCAGACTGGAGTTAGTTGAGTGCATGCCATCATACCCAATTGGAATGCAAGATGACCCCCATCTATTTCTTCTTGATCCCCTGCAGAATTTAAGCAACTCTGGCTTGTCTCTTGAGGAATATGTTTCCACCATAGAAACTGAGGTTACGTGCACCTGTAGAGATAAAAGCACTAGAAATGAATCGTGTACTTCCCTATCCATCGGAAGGTCAACGCAAAATTTACAGGAGTGCGTTAATAATCATTTCACCGGGCAACAGGAATATCTCTGTGGGAAGTGTAAGTTCTCAGGATTGGTTAATTTCAAGTCTAATTTGATATTGGCGCCAAGAACTTTATTTGTTAAATTTGATTTAAATTATCTGAAAATTTTTACAAATCAAGGCACAAAAATTACGGAGAAGTCATTTGCATCAGATGTTCTTACATTGCCTGGCTCAGATAATGTGTACGGTTTGACATTTGTAGTTAGTCATTTGGGCAATTCCTTAAATTCAGGGCATTATATTGTGAATTATAGACGGGAAAATGATTGGGTAATCTATGACGATAACAAAGTATATATTTCTAAGCACTGCGTTGGGGATGGCTACATTTTCTTATACAAATCGATATAATTCCACCTGCAAAACTACCTATCTGCTAGCACTGAAACACGCAATTCATATCTTTATCATAATCATTGAAATTGTTCTGGTAATGTTGAAATACACATTACCAGAACTAGCTCATAAAATAATACAAATTCATATGCATCCTTCTCATAATCATTGTAAATTGTTCTGGTAATGTTGGAACACACATTACCAGAACTGGCTCATAAAAATATGCATCTTGATCATAATCACTGAAAATGACAATAAAATTATTTGCATAAATTCCTCAATAATTTTAACGTATTATCGTACTGCGGCCATAGTATGCCACTACCAGCCCTTATATAATTTTAGGGTCATATATGTATTTAATCTAAGTTTATTCAATTTTCAGATCTTCATCTTTTTGGTTCAATCGGAATATCCAAGTTATTTGATTGGTTCACTAATTGATTTTTTCAGATTCAAACGATACATCAAGGTTCAAAGTTACTCAAGGTTCAAAGTTACCCAAGTTCGTTTAAAAAAGGTAGGTGTATTTTATTGCATTTTTGCAATGAAGTCATCGAGATTAGGGTGTCCCAAGTCCCAAGTTAGGGCTTATGGAGAGCCGAAACCCAGTTGGTGTTGTGTAAAACTTTGCAATGAATATGTACGTTTCACGATTTCTTCACACCGATGGTACACAATAAGCGGAGAAAATAGAAATATGATTTTGATTAGATTTTGCATTAATCACGCAGAAAAAATGGGGAAATTTTGGACACAAATTTGGCATGATTTCAAGGGTAAGGGAAGGCAGATCCAACAACTTGTGTGTATCGGTTAATCTCCAACATTGGTGCGGTTTTCAGCTAGTCTGACCGTAGTAACGTTAGAAGTAGCTCACCCTGTACTAATGATTTGGTTATAACTTGCCCCAAAGGTGCAGAAAAATCCAACAAAATAGGTGCATAATTTTTAGGCAATTATGCACCAATGGTGCAGAAAAATCCAACAAAGTAGATCAATAATGTTTATGTAATATTTCACCAATGGTGCAGAAAAAGTAAACAAAATAGATCAATAATTATTATGCATCGAGGATAGTCCAAAAATTGTGCATCACTGGTGCAGAATTACCTACCAACGATCAACGAAAATTTTGAAAAATTTATGTCAAAATTGTCTAATACAATCCGCCGTCTAGTATGCATTATTGGTGCTTTATGAATCAGATCCCCCAATTCTTTCGCATCACTTGGTTTTTCCGATTGTCAGATGCTAACGGTGCTATTAATTTATGAAAAAATGGACAAGGGACGTTTTAAATCGCATCAATTAATGCAAAAAACTCGTCAACGGACGGACGGACGGACGGACGGACACGGAATTCAATAGCTTTCGTGCTACGCAGGGCGAGCTAATAATGAGATAAACTTGTAGTTCATGACCCCGTCCGCTAGGTGCCGCTAAGGCGTGGCTAAAAAATCTCACTTTATCTCATATTTCTCATGTCTCACTATTTCTCATTATGTCTCAGTGAGATGAGATTTGTGAAGGTGAGATGAGATTTCTGCTACCCTGGTTTCTTGAGGCAGTTTGTGCGATGGTCAGAATTTGTCAAAATATTTTAGGGCAAAGTTGAAAAATGAGCGAATCTTAGCACGGGAATAGAATTTAAGTTGAGTTTGCATCCACCGCCTGGTAGAAATCTTTGACCTCAAATATTTTGACAAATTCTGACCATCACACAAACTGCCTCAAGAAACGTTGGTTGTATTGACATGGACCACATAATTTCGAAATTCCAACCGAATCGGAGGGTTATTCTTCACACCATCGCATTGTTAGTATTACAACTAAACACAATTTTATAACAAAAACCCCACATTATCCTCACTAATTTTACTTCTTATGCACCTTCTCAGAAAGGATTAGAGAACACTACAAAAATCAATTCAATCAGCCATTCTCCACAACCTCAACTCAAATTCCGGCAGTCCAACCGACATCTTCCCCACATTCAAAAATCTGGCCAAAAAATATTCCAATTATTTCAAAGTTCGTCGGCCGAAATAAGGAATTGCTCCAACTTCAATACGCTTATGACGCCCACCGTCAAAGGATACTAAGAATACAAAGACAGACAAAGGATACCATCCCACGTTCGTTTACGTCACAGGAATTGGAGGCATTGGCAAAACCTCACTCGCAGTAAAGTTCTGCTACAATATTATAAACAAGTGTAAAGCTAGAACTCTGGACGCTTGCACAAATTGTGTATTTCTTAATGTTCAATCTATTCATGATCCACAAGAATTTTTAAATGAACTAAGAAATGAACTAAGGAAACGTGGTATAACCATCGAGGAAGATGACCAAAGTGTGGATAATGTTGTGAGAAAAATCTGTACAAGGGGCACTTCAATTATCTTAGTTTTAGACAATGCTAGTCCCCATATTTCAAGCCTTTTAGAAGCAATCCAAACTTGGCGGGATTTAGACATATTTGTCATTGTCAACAGCCGTGAGAGTATTCATGGGTTTCCAATCGCAGGCGAATCCATCCACCTCAGAGCATTTTCTGATGAGGATGGTCTTCAATGCGCACGATCCTTCCTTCCGGATGGCGAAAATGAGGCCATTTATAACCACTTGGCCGATTTCACTATTTACGCCGTCTTTACCCACACCATCGACCTCATGTGTCATCAGGATCCAGACAACCATGTTAGAACAATTCTGTCATTAATCATCTGCCTCAAGTCGGTAGAAATTATGAGGCTTAAAAATCTATACCCATTATTTACTGCCATTTCAGGGGACCTAAAAAATCCTTCAGATTTTGTTCCCTATTTTTCTTCCAGGAATGTAGCCAAAGTCGCAATTTAATTTTCTTCTGAGAAAATTTGTCAGGTGATGAGTAACGGGACCCATGTATGGTAGAATGATGCGTGGTTTATCGTCTTCATTGCATCTCCTCTTCTGGAACGCAACCGTTGTATCCGAGATTGTATGAGGGTGTTTGGGAAGTTGTTGCTTAATAGGTGGGTTCTTACATGCTGAATTTCTTCCTCAAGATATTCGGGATCAGAAATTATAAAAGCACGATATAGTAATGCATCAATCACGGAGATCTTGTGCGATGGATGATGGTATGATGAATAATTTAAGTAACGTCCGGTGTGAGTAGCTTTCCTAAACACCTTTCTCCAGAGTTGATTTTCTTCGTCTCTAATTAGCGTCACGTCTAAAAAAGATATTTGTCCATTTTCTTCTTCTTCATAAGTAAATTGGATATGTTTGTTGAATTGATTGAATTCTTTTTGTAAATCTAGTGTTGCGTCATCGTTAATAATGCAGAAAGAATCATCCACGAAACGTCGGTAAAGGTCAATTTTTGGGTGGTCTTGTACAACTTGAGATTCAAAGTACTGCATGTATAGTTCGGCGAAAACGGGACTGATTGGAGAGCACATTGGTGTACGGCTGGTTTGTTGGAAAAACATGTCTTTATATTGAAAATAATTGGATTTGATACAAAGTTGTAGTAAGTCTAAGATGTCCTTTGCTGTCAAACTTGTATAAGATTTCCAATTTGATGTTTCTCGTAGTAGTTTTCAATGTATGTTATAGTTTCCGGAATGGGTACTTTGGTAAAGAGGGAAGCTACATCAAATGAGACCATTTTTGGATGGGGTTGGAGTTTGTGGTTTTTGATTTGCTGGGAAAATTGATAGGAGTTTTTTAGTGTGAAAGGGTTGTGGACCAAAGATTTTAAGATTTTGCTAAGATGGGAAGCAATCTTGTAAGAGGGGGAGTTCCGGAAGTCGCATATAGGTCGTCGTGGAGTGCCAGTTTTGTGAATTTTGGGTAGTCCATAAAATATTGGGGCTTTTGAATTTCTTGGGAAAATGGAATTGTAAACGCTTTTGGATATTCTTTTGGTTTTGTACAGGGACTTCAATTTGATTTGAATTTCTTTTTCTAGTCTTGTGGTTGGATTTTCTCGAATCATTTCATACGATGGATCAGTCAGCATATCCATGATTTTGTTGTTGTAATCATCTTTGTTCATTATAAGTGTTGCATTCCCCTTGTCTGCAGGACAAATAATGATATTCTTGTCTTGTTTAATTGATCTAATTTTTGGAGGGATCCATTGGTATGATTTAATATTGTTGTCGGGTCGATTTTTGTATGAAGACAATATTCTTGAGAGTCCGCGTAGTACAGAGTCTTCCTTTTCTTCGGATATTTCAAGATCTTGTAAACAGCATTCTAGAGAGATGCCTGATCCCACAATGAGTTCAGATTGGTTGCGTAAAGGAACTGCATAGTTCAAACCGAGCTCCAAGATTTCGGTCTCGTCTTCGGTAAGAGTTTTATTTGAAAGGTTGACGATGCTGCTTCGTTTCACATGGATAGAAGGATGTGGGTGGGAATTGATTCTTGGGGTAAGTTTTTGGGTTTGCTGGAGTCGGTCAAATTTGTTTCTTTGTTTCTGCTTCACTTCTGTGTTGTATTTCAGTTTGGACGTGTTGATAAAATCAAAAATTGCATGATGGTGCTCTGTGCATATTGTCAAAATTTGGGTCTTGGTATCATCTATTTCTCTCTTCAATTTCGCAAGAGTTCCGTAGTTGTAGTTGATGATGTCTTTCAACAGGTCTTGCTCCAGTTTTTGGAATCGTTTTCGGGTTGACGGGATGTCCAGCCATTGATTTTTTATTCTCAATCCGTGTGGGATGATGTTATTCTTCTTACATCGTTTTAGGAAAACATTATCATTTTGGAGTTTGGTGGTCTTGATCTCCATTTTCTCGAGGTCTTTTATTTGAGCCATTATAGTCGGTCCGTGACGACTGGTGATGAGAGATTTGAGCTCCTTCCATCCATTTAATTCAGAATTTAGGGTAGAATTAACAGATCGTATGGATGACATTTTTTGAAGTGGTTTATTCACGAGCTTTCAGGGTTCAACTGCCCCCTTCTTCAGGTGTAAAAGTGTACAGGAAAAAATTTTTACATTTCATGGAAGATAATATTTTCAAAATTAGATGAAGTTGTTGACATCAGTGAGGTCGCTGGGTAACCGGGATAGTAGTTGGGCGTATAAGCGTTGGCGCTAGGGACAGGAGTAGCGATGTCCAGATTGGGTTTATTTCCATACCTAAATCTCGATTTATTTTATTAATGGTGTTTCTGATCAGCAATCCCTCCTTGAATTTCCGGTGGAAATATCGCTCCTCCCTTTATTTTTCTTAACCTTACCTGTTAATTGTCGGTTACTAGACGCAATGGGAATTGGTTTCACAAAGGCGTTGAACTTGAAGGGATGATTAACTTTTACCAAGCCAATATCATGAGTTAAGTCGGAAGGGTTGAAAGTAGAGGTAATTAAATTGTTCTCAATACCACGCAATTGTTCGGTGTTCTGTCCCCACTGTACGCTATAACGACCGGCAACAATCCGCAACTCGGAAGCCTTTCTTACATAATATCTACTCCGATTTTCACTACCATCACGACCCAATCGAACCAAACAATGGGCCACCGTGAGGACGAAGAACGCATTAATAATTGATCCCCCACAGACATGTATTTGCGACTCGGAGTTTCTAATGGTCACGAGGTATGGGGCATAATCCGGAAGTGCGTTGGTTGCTAGGATGACTCCTATTGTTGCCATACAAACAATAAATTTTTATTCGATACCAACAATGGAACCTTTCTTCAAGCGACAATTTCAAGCTATAATTTATTGAACCCGTCGTCACTTTTTCATTACGGACCGGTGGATAGTAGGATTTTAACAACCAAATATAAAATTATATAAATGTATACACCAATTTACCAGATTGTGAAATTTTGTCAAAAATAATATGCATTGAATCAAGTGCGATTGTGCGAGAGTGAAGTGTGCGGGGTGACCTCGAAAATTTTCACTCCTCCGTTCGCCCGCTTGAGAAAAAAACAGGCCGCTACTGTGAACTTTGCTCTCAAATATTTGACCTCCAAGTGCCCATTCAACGGAAAGATAAGTACCACGTCATTTCTAATTTTTACCTTGATTTTTTAGCATATGTCACTAAGCTTATCTCGCGTAGCTTGAGAAAAGGTTCGATTGTAAGTTTCTTACTGGGTTAGAATTTATGTTACATAATTTTACTTACGAGATCCCATTGTCTGATCTGAACGATGTTGACTATCGTTCATCCAGAATAAATGGACCATCGGAATTCTCGGGAGGCTAAATGGCCGACCTTGCCATAACTAACAACATGTAAAGTTTCAAAATTAATTGCACGGTCATTTCTTGATGGATTTTCAAAATGGCGCACGTTTTGGAAACCTTGGACCCTTGGGCGAAATATATATTTTCAAATTTTTGAAATTTGGCCCCACCCACCAGTTATCGAGGTCACAAGGTCAAAAAAATCAAAAGACATTGCCGTATTGAATTTCAAAATTCTGCAAGGGAATTCGAAAGACCTGGCTACAGATTCTTGGCGGATAGTCAGGTCATCGTATCCAGCGGTTATCTGGCCGCACCCCTTCATTAGGGGTCAATGGTGGGTTTGGTCAAAGGTCAATTCCCAAGAAATACAATAGAAAAAATTCTTACCACCGTAGTTTCTGAAATTCAACGTCACCATTATTCATAACCTTCATCGTGCACCCCATCTGAATGACCTGACCTTATCGTAGACCTCATGACGACAAAGGGGTGTGGCCATCGGCGCTTCTGCGAATACCCAACTCATATACGGCATGCGACATATCATTCTTCTCAGCTCGATGGGGAGATCAAGATTAAATATTTGAAATTTGGAAACCACAGCCCCAGTGGGTGTGGTCATCAGCTACTTCTCCATTTTAACGAAACCACGTCATGCGACATATCCTTCTTCTCAGCTCGATGGGGAGATCAAGATTAAATATTTGAAATTTGGAAACCACACCCCCAGTGGGTGTGGTCATCAGCGACTCCTCCATTTTAACGAATCCACGTCATGCGACATATCATTCTTCTCAGCTCGATGGGGAGATCAAGATTAAATATTTGAAATTTGGAAACCACACCCCCAGTGGGTGTGGTTTTCTCTAATTTTGCATAATTCTGTTTAAATTTCGTGTCAAGGATGGGTCTGATTACCAGAGACCATTTGAATCTGTTACTAAAAACCCGAAATCTTTCGGGTAAAATTTTTTTTTTACTCATTCTAAATTGTTCCAAAATTAATCCTTCTGACTTACAAAATGTCAAAAATGAAATTGGCAAATGGTGACATATTCCTCCAATATGGGGAGCGCAGCAAATTTGGAAAGTGAAAAATTTATAACCACTTGGAGACAAATTCATAACCACGGTGGTAGAGTCGCATACGTTTACTTTTTGGCTATAATCGTAACCCCATTTCTAAGAGTGTATGTACCAAAGGGAGGGCAGCCTGGTGGATACGAATTTGGCCTTGAATAACCCCGGAACGGTTTGTCGTAGCGGGTCAAAATTTTGAACAGAAGAGCATGTTATCCTCACATAGTTGTGTGCAAAAATTCAACTCTCTACTTTCAGAAATGCCTCCCCCACAGCCCCCAGAAGTTTAGACACTCATTTCAACTTTTTCCAAACTCCGTCTACAAAATTCGGTCCCCACAGAAAGATTTTCTTTTCATCTATCCGAACTCAAACAAGTCGATTTGACTTATATCAGGGGATTGTATAGGTATTTCACTATTCGAAATGATTTTTATCCCCAATCTAGGTGAAAGGTCATTTGCATAATCTTGGGTCAACTTTGCCGTCTGGGAGGACGCTCCGTCATGATGAAAAATCACCTTAATTATTATTTTACCGTGCAAATTAGGAAAATTGTATTCTAAAAGTGGTTTCAGTACAAGGTCCACATAATACTTCGAAGATTCCTTCACTTTTTGGGGGACTTTGATAAGTGGGAGGACACCACGACAGGACATTGCACCCACGACCATCAACTGTTTAAAAAAGTTCTCCTCACTGAAAATCACCAAATTTGTTGAATTTTTTTTCGGCATTTGTCGTGCAGTAAGCTTTTCAAACCCAATTAGTAACTTGTAGGGAAAATAGTTCTTCGTCAATTGTCACCAATAGCTCACTTCTATTCCTCAACAGAATATTCAAATAAAATTTTTTGCAAACACGGGCGAGATTTTTTCTGGAACTATTTGAAATGACTGTCTCAGCTTCTGGGGGATGTGGGGCAGGCATTTTTCAAAGTAGAAGGCTGAAATTTTGCACACAACTATCTGAGGATAACATGCTCGTGTGTTCAAAATTTTGACCCGCTACGACAAACCGTTCCGGGGTTATTCAAGGTCAAATTCGTATTCAACAGGCCGCCCTCCCTTTGGTAAACTAATTTCATGTCACGTAGAAATTTATTAACATTGTGCAGTGCTGTTTGTGGTTTTATTTATATTCCGTCATACTAACTTATGTAGAGAACGATTCACTAATTGGAAATCAAATTTATGACTGATCTGTATATTGACATGTGTGTACTGGTAAGTATTTATGTATGTATGAATTTCATTGCATGTGAATTTTCTCGTTATTCGAGCATCCACGAAATTATGCAAGTATTTCTTTACAGCATATTATTTTAATGTTCCACTCAATATTCAATATTCAATATTTAATGTTGAATAATTAATGAATATTTGTTTCGCAAGTTATGAGTGAGTGAATAAAGAATGAATATTTTTTCACGGCTATGAATGAATGAACCTTGAATGAATAAATATTTTTTGAACATGTATGACTTCAATTAGAAAAATAACTCCAAGCAGGGCCAAACTTATCCCAACAGTTTTGAAAAAGGGTGACAACGTGTTGATTGAAATGTAGGGTGACGCCACTTTCAACTTGGACCACTGCATCGCCCCCAACCATATGGAATGAATTGCTTCTCGATCCCACAGATTTGGGAAGCCTGCCTGGTCCAGAACTTTGATACTTTGTCCAATCTCAGGTCTTAAAATGTTATCGACAAATTCAAATCTTCCTGAATGCAAAGCAATATCATGAACCGAGAAACACTCATTCATTCCTTTCAAGACTAGGTTTTGCAAGCGTAAAAGTTCCGAAAGTATCCCCAGCCTGTGATTAAGTATGGCCAAATTTCGTGGACTGTGTTTCCTGATGTATGCAGTCTCGTTTCTCCAGTAGTACCTTGAAATAGATGTACATTATATGCAAGATGTTTATACATAATAGCGACCAGGGACCTTTAACTGTTTCCTTGAAGGATTTCTAGACAGGATTATGTCAGTTTAAAAATTCTCTAATTTTTTTTGACATATATTATAGTTCGAAAATATGGCTTATTTTTGCTAGGAGAGTTAGGTTGTCCAGCAAAATAATTTATAAATTGTTGTCATAAAATGACAACGATTTAATTTAATTACAAATTAAAATAGTTACAAAATAATTGAACTACGATCCGTATCAAAAACGATTTCTAACAATTATTCGTGCAATTACGACAATGTATAAAGTATTTTATTTTTCTTAACAATTAAATTCTCCCTGCAAAAATAACCTATACATATTCCCAGACTTTAAAACCTGTAGAAAAAAATCTGGAGAATTTTTGAACTGACAACCCTGTCTAGAAATCCTTCAAGGAAACAGTAAAAGGACCCTGATAGCGACGTATTAGATAAATTGTGGTCCACAACGGGTAGTCAATTTCGTCAGATACCACTTGTACATATGCCTCAGCATCCATAAATCAAAAACATACTTACCTCGTAATGATCGTTTTATTACGTGGAAAATCCTCCTTATACTTCCGCACAAAC